CAGTTGAGTTTGATGAAAAGCTTCTTGAAGCAGCCCTTGAAGAAAATCCTGCTTTATCAGTTGAGGAATTGGCAGTGGTTCTCAGTTCAAACCATACAACTGTTCATCGCCATCTTCAACAACTTGGAAAAGTTCCTAAATTGAAAAATGGGTGCCTCATGAATTGTCTGAAAACAACCTCAAATCCTGAGTTGACATTTGCTCTTCTCTCCATTCTCGCCAACTTGTTTCACCTTTTTTTGGATAGACTTGTGACTGGTGACAAAAAATGGATCTTTTATCGAAATGTTAAGCGTCGTAGACAGTGGCTTGGTAAAGAGGAAGGACCCCAACCACAGCCGAGAACGGAACTTCATGGGCAAAAAGTTCTTTCAATCTGGTGCGATCGCCAAGGAATAATCCACTTTGAATTCTTACCACCAAATGCAACAATTAATGTTCAAATATGCTGTCAGCAATTAGAGCGTTTGAACCAAGCTTTGAGGAAAAAAGACTTGCTCTAGTGAATCGAAAAGAGGTGATATTTCATCAGGACAATGCGCGACCCCACACAGCAAGAATCACGTCACAAAAGATCGAAGAACTTGGTTGGGAGAAAATCCCTCATCCACCTTATTCTCCCGATCTTGCTCCTTCAGACTACCATTTCTTTCGTAGCTTACAGAATCATTTGGAACAAACAGCTTTTGTAATACAGGAAGAGATTAAAACTGATATTTATGAGTTCTTCGAATCAAAGCGAAAAGAATTTTACAGTAATGGAATTAGTAATCTTGTTAATAGATGAAAGGAAGTCAGAGATAATCAGGGAAAATACATTGTTGATTGAATCTGTAATTAAATGTAACATTTGGTCACTTGTTTTCTTTATCCAAAATTCGGACAGAACTCATGGGATGACCTGATAGTTGCTGCTAGTTTTGAGGTTTCAAATTTTTTTATTGGCACGTGGAAAAATTTTTGTCAGAGATTTGACCGGTTTTGGCCCGCACTCTAAAAAGTCTTGCTCACACCTGGTCTAAAGTATATTTTACAAGAAAGACAGGCTGATGGTGTGTACGTCCAATTCATTCGTGTGCACATGTATAAAATTGATTTTGTTTTCACTTATTCGGATTAGTAATATAGATCGTTTTTGTTTAACTCTGGTCGGCGGCGGAACTTGATTAGGTATTTTGTCGTTTTTTTTACACGAGGGAAGATAAAAAAAATAAATAAAACGAAATGAAGACAGACAGAAAGAAGCATTATTGAAACTGAAACCTGAGCAACGAATCGATTTTATGTTACCTTAATTATTGATTACAATGTCTTAAGCAAGTTTAGTCCACTTCTCAGTAAAAAGTAATCTCTAGCAGTATTTTTCTCAACATTTTTTGACAGTCTGGCTTACAAGCAAAATACAATTTCCCTCTCCAACATTATATCTATATATACATACACACACACACATACACACACATATATATATATATATATATATATATATATATATATATATATATTATATATTTTATATTATATTTTAATACATACAATTTACTTAAGTAACTGCTCCGTTTTTTAAATAAACAGTATTAATTATATTTATCATCCTGAATGTTCGAGAAATTGCGTAGAAGATTTTCTCAGAAATTTCTCGAACATTCAGGCCTATAAATGTAATTAATAAAGTTTATTTTAAAAAAAAGTATTTGCTTATATAAAATGCTTCTATTAAAATAACGTATAAACAGAAAACATATTAAGTAACTGTCGAACTTGATTAATCTCATAATATATATATATATATATATATATATATATATATATATATATATATATGTATGTATTTAAGTTATGAATTTGGTAATCCGTATGGATAGTCCCAATGAGGATGAAATCCTGAGAGCTCAATGTAAATTCACAGCTAATAATTTAAAGAAAAAACAGGCCACTTTAAGGCTCCATTGTAATAGTTTATTTCACCAGAGACCTTTTAATGTACCCTGGATCATCAGACACCACTTTCAAAAGGAGAAACGAATAAAAAATAAAAATGAATATATATATATATATATATATATATATATATATATATATATATATTCAAGTATAATTGTGTATACGGAATAAATTCCAATAACCAAATTTTACTATTCTTAATAGAGTGCTCAATACAGAGTAAAGCAAATATAATTCTACATTCAATAGCAACAGTTGATAAGACACGAGAAGTGTTGAGACAAAATGGCTATTTTTGTAATTATAACACTTATGTTACAATTTTCGAAGAAATTATATATATATATATATATATATATATATATATATCGTTTCGAAAATATATTTTTTGTCAATAAAATATTTTGTGAACTCGCATATTTGTAAGTACAGATATTTAATCAAATACTACAATTACATAGTTTTAAAATAAAACAATGGTAAATTTGTGAAGCACCTTTTGAATTTTGAAGTTTGCATTGTCTTTACATTGTCTTTAAAATATATTTAAAAAATAACTTAAATTATAAATCATGATCGTTTACCTTTTAAGTTTCTTGAAAAAGGAAATAATGCTAATATATTATCTAAAATAAGTCAAATAAACTTATTTCTTACTGACTACTTCAATTTGGAAACCTCATCCCGATTACAAATTGATCAAACGTATGAGGGAAGAAACTTTTCTTTTTTTTTTATGAAAGTTCTTCATATCTTTAAACAAATCACTTTTTAACTAACATTTTTTCTTCTTGGTGTTTTTATTGCTTTTATGCCGTAACTTTTTTCAGGTCATCGAACTATAGTTGTTGCTATGTAGAACGGATCTAAAAGGCTTAAGAGGGACAGTCGAAAAAGCGCTTACTTTTTTTCTCGGCCTTCCGGCTTGGATAAAATTATAAGATGAAATCTCCTTCTCTCCAAGATGTGAAAAAAAAAGTCTAGTGCCAGGAATTCTAACCCTGCAGTAACACATTCTTCCTTGCACTAAGGAGAGAGGGTGGGAAAATATGCACCTTAGGGGGCAATGATAGTGAGGACTGTGTAGTTTTTGTCTCTTGTCCATATTTACGAGCAGTGGCATACCACGTTAAACAGACTTTGTTTAATCTTTTGCACCCGTGTATTTTCCTCCATGAAACCTGATTAAAAGTACAAATTACACTTACAGACTGAACTACGAGCACGCAACAGCTTAGATGATCAAATCTAATCCTTAAAACCACTCTTCAGAATGAAAAGATTGCATTCAGCGCCATATTTGATATATGAATTAGATGGAGTAATATTCTCTTTATTATCTTTAGATGCAATATTATCAGCAATTATTATCAATTTCTGCTAGAATTTGTTTTCATCTTATTGCTTTTGATTGATCTTTCATTGCAAATTTTCTCAATTTACGGCGGTAAGTAAACAATGAACAGTTGTTCTGTTTAACTCGAATTATCTGAATTAATTAATCTGACTTTGTGTATCTCAGAAAGTTTATTCTCATTATGTGCTCTAGAAATTTCAATTGTCTCTTACTGATTCTAAATATGTCTTTTTTTGTTTTCGTTTTCCCTTCTCCATTGATCCCGTGTTCAGTCCATCAGTATCATTCTGTTGAACAAAATGCCTGTTGCCTAAAGTCTCTTCTTCATTTGTGAAGAGATTGTCCATCATTTACTGGCATATTAACAACAGCAGGGTATACTGTATAACAGTTCAGTAATATTTTGTTCGTTGCATACTCAATTTTCCTGTTTCTTATAGTTTAGCATTTGCAATGGTATGTTTTGCTATTCTAATGCGCCTTCGGATTTTAGTTTTGTGTCTTCGTCGCTTTATCGCCTTCCTTGGTATAAAATGATAAAAAAGAAATCATCTAATTACATTGAAAATGTGGAAAAATGGTGCGAAACGGCGGGTATAGTTTCGTTTGGTTTACGGCATATCAACCCCAATGGGTTCTTTAATAATGTCAAAATTTTCATTGTTGGTAATATTTTTTTCCAAAAATCTATTTCTGGCAAGAATTTTCCTTCGCTGGTAATATTTTTTTTTCCAAAAAATTTATTGCTAGTAATATTCGTTTTTCAAAAATGTATTGCGGATAATATTTGTTTTTTCAAAAATTTATTGCTGAAAATATTTATTTAACAAAGTATTTCTGGCATTAAAACGTGTTTTTACACTTTCATAGTGTTTTGACCCGAGTTTGGTGGTTAACTATTTTCCCATAGCTGGAACCCTAACAGGTGTTACCACCCTGAGTCAGGGTGGACCTCGAAACATCAGCAATAAAGAGGTGGTTCCACGCTCCTCAAAACCTCCTTGCTGTTGGATGTAGTTTAGCGTTTTACCCAGGACGTGGATGTTGTTTTGCGTCTTACCCAGAACGGGGATGTAGTTTAGCGTCTTACCCAGAACGGGGATGTAGTTAAGCGTCTTACCCAGGACGTGGGTGTAGTTTAGCGTCTTGCCTAAGACTTGGATAAATTAGCGTCTTACCCAGGACGTGGGTGTAGCTTAGTGTCTTTCCCAGAACATGGACATAGTTTAGCGTCTTACCCAGGACGTCGATATAGTTTAGCTTCTTACCCAGGCCGTGCGAAAATGGCTGTGGACTCAGATAATGAAGTCGAAAAAAGTTTTCAATATCTATTTTATGAAGAAGAAAATAAAGCACATAACATTCTGAAATCGTTTAATGATGGTGATTTTTTTTTCTTTACCTCTTTACTGATTGACTTCACTTGCAGACCCGATCTTACGACTACTGTGAAATCAATAAGCTGCAATAAATAACGATATAAGAGGTCTATTAACTAGAATTTTTGAAGTTACTTTTTTTTTCTGTTGCGGACAAGATGCAAATGTAGCAGGAAAAAAAAACATGATTCCTGAATTTTTTAAATGCTTACCACAGATTTGAATTTCGTAACAAATGACAAAATGAATTTCGATATATTCGCACGTTTTTATTATTGGTAAGTATGGTTCGAAGAATAAAAATCGATATCAAACACAGATTATGGCAATGCATTTCGAACAAATTCTAAGGGAATCACTTCTAATATTTGATATGAAGAAAGATATAGACACGGTGGAGATAGATAGATAGATAGATAGATGTGAACAGACTGAGATAGATAGATAGATAGATAGATAGATAGATAGATAGATATATATATATATATATATATATATATATATATATATGAACTGAGATAGATTGATAGATACATAGATAAATGTGAACAGACTGAGATAGATAGATTATGAATAGATAGATAGATAGATAGATAGATAGATAGATATAGAGAGAGTGAGATATACAAATTCAGATAGATAGAAATAATATATATATATGGACAAACTGAGATAAATATGAACAGACTGAGATAGATTATGAATAGATAGATTGATAGGGAGATAGATAGAGAGAGATACAAACTGAGATAGATTGAAACATATATATATATATATATATATATATATATATATATATATATATGAACAAACTGAGAGATATAGATAGATAGATATATAACTGAGAAAAGATAGATAGATAGATAGATAGATAGATAGATAGATAGATAGCTAGCTATGACCAACCTTAGAAAAATTAATGATTTGTTATGACGAAATCGGGTTGAATCGAAATTTGATTTTTTTTATCCAACCCTGCTCTCACTTTAAAATTGTCGAAGAACTAATGAATAAGAATTTTATTGAAATTTAACAGCCAAAATTTGAAAATCTGATTTCTTTTTTCTTGATTGGCTTGAAATTAAATAATCTTAAAATAGAAACGATTTATATTACAAAGGATCAAACCTGAATGAACTGTTTCTCTGTTGATGACGGATAATTATTGGTTCCTCCTCGGGTTCTTGACAATGTTTTGCCATCTATAATTACAAGAAGAACCAATCATAGATACTTGTGACCCGAAGTAGTTCGATATTTTACAGCAATTCATGTGAAATATACAGTCTAAGAAGGATACACTATTTACATTATTCGGACTATTCTCCTCATCTTTGATGACATATTTATCACAAGGTTTCGGCCGTCGTACGCTCCGGCGTTCTTCCTTTGGTTGGAATCGCTCACTGTGGCAGACTGTTCTAGTTCCACGTCCCATGTCTAATGGATGTCAGTTATCAGCTATCTTCTGTTAATTCACCTCTCCAAGTTCTCCACTGCCTTACTCTTTGGTTCTTGTGGATAAAGGCGTTGGTTAGATCCCGTGACAGGACCCAAAGAGTTGTGAGTTCAATACCTTGTTAAGGCAGTGGAGAACTTGGAGAGGTTAATTAACAGGAGATAACTAAAAACTGACATCCATTAATGATGGCACTTGGAACTAGAACAGTCTACACCAGCGAGCGAATTAAAAAGTTCAGTTCGACATTCCAACCACCTGAAGAAGACCGGAACGTACAACAGTCGAAACCTTGTAATAAATATGGCAACAAAGATGAGGACAATAATCCGAATAATGTAAATAGTGTACATAATACCTCATCTCATAAATATAGACAGATACTAAGAAGAATACGTATTTAAGTCTAACTTTGCAGCTGATCCTTTTATAGGTTTAAAATCATAGACTCTTCATATTCAGTAAAATACTTGGATATACGGTAAGGTGTGAGGGAAAATGGACCAGAAATCAAAATCGGAGAAGTGAGTTCGAATTTAAGATGAGTTCACTATATTCACTTATGAGCAAATGCACTTGAATTCCATCTCTTCTTTTTATATACTGAATAGCGGGGCAGACTGGGTCCTATAGCCTTGGTTAGCAACCAGTCTTTCGTAAAAGGAAACGGCTGTCTACTGCGGGAACATCAACCCAGTCTGTCATGAATCGAAAGATATCCCAAACATGTATCAAGTATGGCACTTGATTGGCTTAAAAACACTTGAAAACTGTGTTGTCCGATTAGACGATTGTTCAGCGCGCAGATATACAATCCATTGCTGAAGATCATTGGAGAAACGTTCAGTACATTCTATCTGTTATGGTCCGGTTCCTTGTACCACGGTGATAGTCCAAGGTAGAACCAATAAAGAACTCGAATACGAATATGGAATAACACAGATATATTACAAACAGGAATATATACAGAAAAGTAGAAAGTGTTAGTACGAACAATCAGGTTTAGTAGTAATTGTTTGAACGCGACTCTGTTTCGGACTGCCTCTGACTCGACTGACTGACTCGCTCGCTCTGACTGACTGACAGACTCCTGACGGACTTCTGACGGACTGAACTCCAGACTTCAGACGAAACTCCAGACTTCAGACGAAACTCCAGACTTCAGACTGAACGATATTCAGTCACCCTCCCACGAGGGCGTCATGTGGCACAAGGCCTTTTTAACGTGGGAACTCCGAGCACTTGGGCTCGGCCAAAAATATGCCCTTTGAACCCGTATAAACGGGTTCAGGGTCGGTTTACCTCCCTGAAAGAGACTCCGCCCTTCGGCGTAGCCTCGTTTGGGTTCCTCCCCGCCTGAAGGCAGAGAGTTCAACCGTTCAGCCGATCAGCCGGTCGCCCGACTTCGGACTGAACTATCTGCTTCCTTTTGAGGCGCAGTATTTATTACGTATGGAATAGTCCATTATGTTATTATGGGTCAGGTCCCATAACACTATCGATCTATGAAGCATCTGTATAGTTGCCATGATTTATCTGAGTTTTCAGATATTGTCAAATTCACTACTCATAATCCAGTCTGGTAATACTGGTTAGGATTTTATCTCCAAAGAAAAATATTCCGATTTGTCTGGAGATTTTTTTTTCATTCTTGCTTAAACTTCAGAACTTTATATTTTTTTTAAAATGTAACACGGCATCTCTGTTAACGAAATCTCATTTAAAATCACATCACAATCTGAATCCATGTAAAAAGATAGCATTCTATTGCCATATGAAATAAATCAAAAAACAAAATAGACACGTAAAATGTTATGCTTTTACTCACAGCGCTTTAATTTACGACCAGAAATTATCCAGCAAACACTTGTAATTTGATTATGTGTCTCATTACTTACTCATTAATCTATATAAAGCAGAGGATGTCTGTTTGTGTGTGTTCGTATATGTGTGTTTGCCAGTGTGGTATCTTTTCACTCGAGATCCATCCAACCGATTTTGACCAAACTTGGCACGTACATTGTCCAATGTAAGAGATATGTTCTTATCATAAAAAATCGATAATTTTTTTAAAAATCAATAATCGATAAAGCCGATCAAAAATCGATAAATTCAAATTTTCCTCTGATTTCGTTCGAACTCGGTATCTAGGTTACTTACATCATGACGAGCTCAACGATATCTCATTTTTATTTCTAGGCCACTGCGTTTAGCGAAAAACCGCTAAAAACGAAAAATCGATTTCAACACATATTTTAAAATAAAATCTCCCTCAATTTTCAAGCAATCTAATACAAATTTCACTCAGTTGTAGCCAACAATAATTTGATTGCTTAACAGTCATTTGACTTGATAAGTGAGTCCACCCATATAGTTAAAACCCACGTAAATAGCGAAAAATGGCGATTTTTACTGGTTTATTTTTCGTTGATGTTTCAAGCAATTTTCATCAAACTTAGCAATTGCTTTATAAATGTATCTTCTTTTACATCATCGGTAGCACACTGACAAGTTGAATTTCAAAAACTCCAAAATAATTGTGGTCTGAAGTGGGTCTTCATGTTGCCTGTTTTATCCCTTCATGTCCTCAGCTAACTTCGATTGAATAAATACAGACTACTTCTGTTATATCAGTAACTGCATTTATTCAAAATGTTTTTTGTAATGAAAGTACTTTAAAGTAAATGAAGAAGATAGACTCTGTTACATCTAAACATGATGCTGTTTTTGCTCCTTTCTAATTGAACGCTTTTCCTGATCGACCAGCTGGCTATGGCTGGCAGCTAAATATGAAATCATATTGAAAACGTATAAATGTTTCAGATTCAACTTGTAACACTGTGTGGCTGGCTGGGATGAAACTTATTGTTTGAAGTAATGAGATCACCTAGTGAATTGACGTATTGTCATGTCATCTACTTAATTTAGATTGGACTGTGTAAAAAACACTGTTGTCTATTTTAATATAAATACATGCAGACGATACAAAGATCAGATGTCCGCTGTTTAGGCAATGCGACCACAGATATATAACAATGTGACAAGAGGTGTGTTCTTCATTTGTACAGAAAATGTCGTCAGGCTGGTACAGAGTGTCCGTCGGTTGCCATGTCGGACCACAGTGTTATATGCACCATCATCATCATACCGGAACTACTATTAGAAAAATAAAAGTGGATTCTCCCTGCAAAAACTGACTGTTGTTATCTTCGGTGCGTCCAAGTGAATCTTTCCTGGACATCATCCCCTTGTCAGCATATCCCGACCCTGGCAGCTACGGCCAACACTGACAAGCCACCTTAAAAGGAAACCAATGAAACATAATTTGCGACCGATTGCTCGTTCAACGAGAATGTCGGGAAGGTAAGGTATGGCCCTATTACAAAGCAATAACAAATCAACTCTACATTTAAAGTTAAACAGCAATTTAAAATATAAATTATAATGTTTTATTTATCAGGTTTCTCTTCCTGCTATGCCACCAGAACAGTCCACTACACGGAAAGTAGTCTATCACTTATGGGAGATTCATAGTGGAATTCTCGGTGACGTTCATCATAGTGGACACGTCAGGTGACACGGAAAAGCATTACATACACACATGCGCGCATGCACAAACATACACAGATAGATAGATAGATAGATAGATAGATAGATAGATAGATAGATAGATAGATAGATAGATTTTGAAGAGACTAGGATAGATAGATAGATAGATATGAAGCGAGAAAATATGAAGAGACTGAGATAGATAGATAGATAGATAGATAGATATGAAGAGACTGAGATAGATAGATAGATAGATAGATAGATATGAACAGACAGATATAGATATGAACAAACTGATACAGATAGATATTGTTCAAAATCTTGTCTATTAAGAGTGCTCAATATCAGTAATAGAGCGTTCATAGATATTATTTTATTCATTAATACTATCCATTTATTTGTTTCTATTGTCTAGTTGTTGGTCACACATAACATCATTTAACAATACAAAATAGGCAAACAGTGTTACCCTATCAAAGCGTATATATCAAATCTATTTGCCTTGATAAAAATTATCAAAAGGCCAAACGCATCGGTAAAGAAATGTTTTCCTTTTGTTTTTATGTATGTGCGTGTGTGTGTGTGTGTGTATTGCTTAAACTTTACTGTATATATAGGGAGAAGATTGTTTAATATCGAAATAGAACATTTATTTTTTATAGTCATTGTAGACCTAAAAATGAAAACTGCATGGTAACTGTCAAGTTCATGTTTCAGTGCGATCTTCACAGTAATTGTTACTACTTTAGCAGGTTGTATAGACAGCGAGTTGTGTATGTGGGTCAATGGGAATTATGGTAATCTGGAGAATGGAAATCTCTCTCTCTCTCTCTCTCTCTCTCTCTCTCTCTCCCTATTCTCTCTCTTCTCGCTCTCTCTCCCTATTCTCTCTCTTCTCGCTCTCTCTCTGTCTCTCTCTCACTCTCTCTCTCTCTCACACACACGCGCGCGCTCTTTCTCGTTATAATTCTAAAAAAAAGTGAGTTTAAATAGAATCTGGACGGCGAATAGACGAGAATTGGAAAAATCTCCAGAAACTCATTATTAATTCATATTGAAACTTCAGTCCTTGCGGCATTACTGGATGTAAAAATATATTTTTTTTTACAGTTATAACAACTATATGGTTTGTAAACGATTTCTTCTTCTTCTTCTTCTTCTTCTTCTTCTTCTTCTTCTTCTTCTTCGTCGTCGTCGTCGTCGTTCTCCTCCATCTTCTTACCCATCTTCGTCATTTTCTCCTTCTTCTTATTTCACTTCTTCTCGTCCTCCTTCTCGTCGTCATCTTCGTCCTTCTTCTTCTTCTCCTCTTCATCTTCTTCTTCCTCTTCCTCTTCTCATCGTCCTCCTCCAACTCGTCGTCTTCTTCGTCTTCGTCTTCGTCTTCGTCTTCTCTTCCTTTCTTCTTCTTCTTCGTCTTCTTCTTCTTCTCTTCCTTTCTTCTTCTTCTTCGTTGTCGTCATCGTCTTCCTATTCTCCCCTTTGTCATCTTCTTCTCCTCCTCCTCCACCTCCTCCTCTTCTTCTTCTTCCTCTTCCTTCTCTTCTTTTTCTTCTTCTATGAATTTCCAATTACGGGATTGTTTTCTATATCCAAGAATTTTGAAATACCGTCCGTTACAACTCTATATTGCACCGTGGGGTCTGAACTTCAGCATTAAATTAATGTAAATCAATGAATAAAATAGGAAACATGTACCAACATTCAATAAAACATACACGTTGTACAGATTTCGCTTGCAATTATACCTTGCTTGGTGTTATTAATTTCTTATTTAATTACAAACAAAGCGTTTAAAATCATATTACATCCTAAATTAAACATTTTATCTATTGTTTTATTTCTAATCCCATACGTTTACCGAAATTCGAACCTATGGCTCTCTATATATGCTATGGGAACACATACTTACTTACAGTCGCTCATGATTTAAAAAAATTATATTCTTTCAAGGTCTACATTGTTATGGGCCTCGACAGATCCGTCTTTCTTTATTATGTGTGAATTACTCTGACCTCTTTGGAAAGACAGTAACCTAGCTTTTCATTGTCTTTCTCTGTGTGATAGATGAAATAGATACATTTCGAAGGGCATCAGCGAGAATTTGATCGCAACAAGTTAAGAAGGAATTCGAACTCAGATCTCTTATTCCAGGCCAATAGACGTTAGATCAATCTCCTATCGACACATTTAATAACACTTTGAACGAACCAAGGGACGTAATGCATGTCTATAGATATGCAAAGAGCTAAACAACATTCGGGATGACTGAAAAGTAAAGTAGAAAAATAATCCATGTTTATTTGTAGAAAATTAAATATTTTGCCTATGTTATCAGAACTAAATTAAATATTTTGCCTATGTTATCAAAACTACAATATGTCACCATAGTATGATGCTACTTTCCCAGCCTAGCCGCGGTCGGAATTGTTGTACTTTTTCCACCGCGACGTGTGTATAAATAGCCTCTTCAGGCGACTGGAGCCACCCTTACACATATGCAACAATATCGTCATCTGTACAAAACCGCCTCCCGAAAAAAAAATCGTTAGTGGGGACCAAACAGATAATAATCTGAAGGAGCCAAAGAATAAGTATGCCTTGGAACATGTATACCATATTCCTGGAGACCCTATTTTGTTAGGTTGGTTGTAGGTTGGTCTAGCGTTGTTGTATGGTAAAAGACAAAAATGAGACACCAGTCTGTTTTGTTGTTCTCTGTATCACGTGTTTAAAGAAAGACGCAACGAACCTTTGTTCTAACTATTTGTAAGTTTTCAAAATGCGATGTGTATGGGATTCAGGATGAAATTATTTTGGGGTATAGAATTCTTCTGGGGGAACAGTTTTTTTTTGTTTTTTTTGTTGATTTTTTGCAATCTCTATAACATTTTTTCTAAATTTATTTGCTATCCTTATAACATTTTTCTATATTTTTTTTGCTATCCCTATAAAATTTTTTCTATATTTTTTGCTATCCCTGTAACATTTTTCTATATATTTTCGCAATTTCTATAGCATATTTTCTATATTTTTTGCTATCTCTAGAGCATTTTTCTATACATTTTGCTATCCCTGTAACATTTTCCTATATATTTTCGCTATTTCTATAGCATTTTTCTATATTTCTTGGTATCTCTATAGCATTTTTTCTATATTTTTTGCTATCCCTATAACATTTTCTATGTATTTTCGCTAACTCTATAGCATTTTCTATATCTTTTGGTATATCTATAGCATATTTCTATACTATTTGCTATCCCTATAACATTTTTTATATTTTTTCGCTATCTCTCTCTTTTTTTTTGGGGGGGATATCTCTATAACATATTTTTAATATTTTTTGCTATCTCTATAGTATTTTTTCTAGGTTTTTCTTTGCTCTCCCTATAACATTTTTCTATATATTTTTGCTATATCTATAGCATTGTTTCGTTTCTGGAAATAAAAAAGCGTCAGATAATGTCTGATTTTCATCCGTTTAACGTTTAATGCACAAACAATATGTTGGCAGAAACAGAGCGAAGCATGCAAACGTTTGAGAAAATGCCAAGAAATTTTCTATTGGGAACATAAAGCCAATGACTTTTTTGGGGGAAAGGGTTGAAAGTTTTGTGGGCCACCAGGAACCACTTCTCGTCTTCTGTCGAACGGAGACAACATGGCGTGGTTCGGACACGTTACAAGGCACGACAACCTGTGCAAGACCATCATTCAAGGCACCGTTGAAAGTGGACGTAGGAGAGGACGCCAACGTAAAATGCGGTTGGAGAATGTCAAACAATAAACAAGAATGACTTCACCAGAATTGCTGATGGCTGCCGTTGATAGCCTGTTGTGGAGGAGATTCAATATGGCTTCGACATTCGACCCCCAACCTACGATTACAAAAGTCAAGTGGATGATGATGATGATGATGTAGAAACAATTTAAAATGCATGCAATCGCCATCTTTTCTTATATGTATATGTGTCATAGTGTTCAATCACGTGGGAAATGAAATCACTTTTTCAAACCACCCTTATTGAAAGACGCTAGGAATTTTTGTTGTAGCCCAATATTTGCAGCTTTCTAAGTTTTCAAAAGTTACACAAATAAACTGATTGGTTGAGTTAAAATTGAATCCCCATTCAATCGTATTGAGTAGAAAAGAAAAATATCGCCCCGCTTAGCGCATGTGAAGGACTGCATTTAGGATGACAGCAGATCTGAGTATAGAATTCCTGCAAAAAGAATCTATTTTCGCGATAAAAATAGCAGGAATTATTTCTATGCACAAAACAGGAAAATTAACTGAACAATTTGGCGTTTTCGTAGACAGATATTATTAAACAAGTTTTACGTTTCCTTCGACGGCCAATGTTAAATTAAAAACAATTTAACCATGAATAATTAGCATATACGGTGTTTACTCATTCCTCCACGAGAATGAGACAGGTAAGTGAGGACTGGGAACTTCCAACCCAGATATAACAGTAATGCAGTGTTTACTCATTCCCCACGAGAATGAGATGTGACACAAGGTCGGATTAATGTGGGGACCCGAGAGCGTGCACCCGGGTAAGGGACAAAAATTTCCCTCAGCCCCGCAACCGTCGGTTGCTCTGGCCTCGGTGCGAGCACCGATCCCTCCCTCTTGTGCAATGGGAGGGCGCGGCCTCGGGCAGCTGTTCCCCAGGGCTGGGCACCTCTCCAGTATAATTTTCCTCAGTTGCCCCTCTGTCCTTTGACAGAGAAGCCCCTGAGTGCAATCTCTTCAATGACAGAGACGCCAATGAGAGATGATAAGCCTGCATTAAAATCCCTCCAAAGAGGAAGTTATATGATAATATAAATAATATATGAATAATTAACATATATTAGTCATATTCGAAATCATATACAACTTGATATACGATGGCTCTCCGAAAAGTAAAGTATAGACATTTACTAACATGATTAGTTAATATATAAATCTTACTTATTATAAAACGCGGATTGTGTGTGTGTGTGTGTCTGTACGTTTATATATTGGATCGGATTTCCTACATTTTTCAACCGATTTAAGCAAAACTTCACAGGACTGTGTAAAATTACCTTGCGCTGGTTCTGACAGTGCCCAAAATTGGAAAAACACAATTGTTTTTGCATGAAATCAATTTGAAAACACGATAAAACACGATTCTGTCGCCAGAATGAAAGGGGGACAACTCATCACGAGTTATACTTATTATAAAACCCAGGTTGTGTGTGTGTGTGTGTGTGTGTGTGTGTGTGTGTGTGTGTGTGTGTGTGTGTGTGTTCGTTTATATATGGGATCGGATTTCCTGCATTTTTCAACCGATTTCAACAAAACTTCACTTTTTTTTTTTGGCAGGTAGTGTTTCTTATTGTCTTGCAAACTTTTTTCTTTATTTTTACATTCAGAATGCTTTAAAAAATTCCATTTACAAGACAATTGTTTATAATAAAATTCTATTCGATCGGTAGACTTATAACGATTGAAAACAATGTTTTTGTTTGAGTTTGGGTTTGACCAATTCGTAGAAAAAAAAAAAAAAAAAACTAATTAAGACATGCGTGTCCGTCAACCTTAAACAATAATCTTTGTCAATTTTATTTTTCAGTCTTTATGATGGTCGATACTTGATCTATCTCTTACTGTTACATCCCCGGGCAACGCCGGGCTCTACTGCTAGTAAAATATTAAACTTATCTTACCATTAATGCGATGCTACTTGTACATGTAAACATCATGAAGATTAATGCAACTGTGCCATCGGTACATATATTGTCAAGCGACTGAAGGTATCCTTGCATTTCGGCAACAACAGCTTCACTTGTGTGGAACCGCGTCGTTTGAGGTACCCAACGATGATAATCCGAAGGAGCCAAAAATGATGACAAGGGAAAGTAACGTCTTATGACCATATCACGTTAGAAACACCGATTTTCATACGATCACCGGTTAAGCAACGTTGAACCTGATCTGTACCTACATTGGTGACCGCTTGGGAATGCCAAATGCTTTAAGCTTGGATGTATGGCTGGTGTAATCGGCTTACGCCCATATAACGTTAAAAACACCAATTCTCATAAGATAACAAGTTAAGCAGCGTCGAGCTTGGTCTGCACCCAGATGGGTGACCGTTTGGAAATGCCGAATTCTATAAGCTTGGATATACGGTTGGTTTAATGTGGTTACGGCCATATCATGTTAAAAACACCGGTCTCATACGATCACCAAAGTTAAGCAACGTCAAGCTTGATCAGTACCTAGATGGGAACAGCTTGGGAAGGCCAAATTCTGTAAGCTTGGATGTACGGTTAGTGTAATGTGGTTACGGCCATGTCACGTTAAAAACAGCGATTCTCATACGATCACCGAAGTTAAGCAACGTCGAGCTTAGTCAGCACCTAGATGGGAAACAGCTTGAAGGGCGGCTGGTGATATGACTTACTGCCATATCACTTTAAAAACACTGGTTCTCGTACGATCACCGGTTAAGCAACGTTGAGCCTGGTCATTACCTAGATGGGTGACCGCTTGGGAATACCAAATGCTATAAGCTTGGATACATATGCGCGTAGTGCAATGGGCTCCCAGTCATATCACGTCAAAATAAATTCCGGTTCTCGGACGATCAACGAAGTTAAACAATGGCGAGATTGGTCAGTAGCTAGATGGGTAACTGCTTCGGAATACCAGGTGCTGAAAGCTTGAATGTGCGGCAGGCGTGGTGGTTAATGGCATGAAATTGGAGATCAGTGAATCGAGTTCTAATCCTAGTCAGGGTTTGGTGATATTTACTTATACGCAAAGGTCCTCAGGAAAGGTACGAATCCACCTCCTCTCTCTCCAGCTATAGGTTAATTAGTAAGACTTGCATCACTAAACCATTATTATTTCCACGAAAAAAATACTTACAATCTAAATAATATCCTCTGATTTTAAATAACCTAAATTGATATACAGCAGAAAACAAACCAATCAATCATCATTTCAATGACCCGTTGTGGTCGTAGGTTTGTTGCGTAACTGACTAATTGACTGCATCACTCCACCGCTGGGTAGATATCGATTCATGCGTAGCCTTTCTTGAGCAGAGTAGAGCGAGCGGATCCAATCCCCCGCTTTGTTAAATTACACCCGACATAATCTAAGGCTTGCTTGGTCATCAGGCCGTTGATTCTATCAGACGGGTGACTCCCTACTCTAGCCGTTGTATTCAGTCTAGGAAGCCCTCTGGTCTAGCGTTATACTATACTATGTGATAATCTTCTATATACTATAATATATCCCTCCCTGGATAGTCGTTCAGTCCCACGTGCATAGTTAGCATACAACACAGTCACGGTAGTTACTGTCACTCGGCTACTATCCTTAGTGATAAGAACCTCGGCATCACTACACATGGAATTGTCAGCTTCCTTCGTTGTCAGAGGCGATAAAGAAATAGATTTTTTGCAGATGAAGGTCGGAATAATAATAATAATAATAATAATAATAATAATAATAATAATAGACCATCTAATCTCAGGATGTTCTATACTTGCCCCAAATGAATATAAAAATCGTCACGATAGAGTGGGGCAATACTTACACTGGACAATGTGCAAACACTTTGGAAAATGTGTAAGCAAACACTGGTATGAACATCGGCCAGCGCCGGTTACAGAAATAGAAGATGTCACCATTCTATGGGATTATACCATCCACACAGACAGAAAAATTGAAGCAAATAGGCCGGACATTATTGTCAAAAACCAGAAAGAAAAAACTTGCCTACTAATTGATATGGCTTGTCCAGCGGATTGTAACATAGCAACCAAGGAATTTGAAAACTATCAAAAATGCAAAGACCTGGAAATTGAAATAGAAAAAATGTGGAAATTGAAAACAAGAATAATACCAGTGGTAATAGGTGCACTTGGAATTATAAAAAATGGAACAAAACAACACATTGAAAGAATCCCTGGAAACCCCAGCTTAAGAGACATACAGAAAATTGTCTTATTAAGTACAGCACACACACTAAGGAGAACTTTGTCTATGTAACGCTAGCAACTTCATCGGAGATAAAAAAAAAAAAAAAAAAAAAAAAAATTAACATGAAATGTGGCCATAACAACACACCACGACCTGCCTTAGGTCTTTCCGCAGACTTGGTAGGTAGTGTGTCCATAGCAGAAATCGAATGATGATGATGATAATAATAATAATAATGATAATACAAAAAAATCTCAGAAATGTGGCACATGGGAACATCAACAATCCCCGTTATGGCTGGAGCCCTTGTATTGGTTAGAAAAAATTCCAGTAGACTAATTGAAGGGATTCCTGGAAGCCCATGCCTTAAAGAAATACAAAAAGTTGTTCTCACGAGTACAGCCCACACCTTACGAAGAGCTTTGTCTATGTAATTTTTTTTAATTTTTTTTTTAAATTTTTTTTTTTGCAGTGGAAAACGTTATGATGCCATTTCTAACCTTAGGTCCCTGGGTGGGACCCGGAAAGAAATGAGTATACATCAGAAATCAAAGGAAATATATATATATATATATATATTTATAATAATAATAATACAAGGACATTGAAATCGAAATCTCAATAATGCGGCACATGGGAACATCAACAATCCCCGTTGTAGTTGGAGCCCTAGGACTGGTTGGAAAAAATTCCAGTAGACTAATTGAAGGGATCCCTGGAAGCCCATGACTCAAAGAGATACAAAAAGTTGCTCTCACAAGTACAGCCCACACCTTACAAAGGGTTTTGTCGATGTAAATTTTTTTTTCTAGTGAAAACGTCATGATGCTATTTATAACCTTAGGTCCCTGGGTGGGACCCGGAAAGAAATGAGTATACATCAGAAATTAAAGGAAATACCTTGAAATAGAAATCTCAGTAATGTGGCACATGGGAACATCAAAATCCCTGATGTAGTTGGAGCCCACGGATTGATTGTAAAAGATTCCAGTAGACTAATTGAAGGGGTTACTGGGAGCTCACGCCTTAAAGAAATACAAAAACATTTCTCCCGAGTACATCCCACCTCTTTACGTAGGAATTTATCTATGTAAAACATCTTTATGTTATTTATTTATTTATTTAATCTCAGTGGAAAATGTCATGGTGACATTTCTAACTTGAGGTCTCTGGGCGGGATCCGGAAGGAAAAGTGTATACACCAGAAATCAAAGGAAATATAATAATAATAATAATAATAATAATAAGGAAAAAATAAAATAAAGCTATGAACACCTTAGCTATGCCCGTAGTAACATACAGCTTCAACATTATTAAATGGAAGTTGAATGACATTAAAAGATTGGATGCCAAAACCAGAAAAAATACTTTCCCAAATGAGGATGCCCTACCAGAAATCAGATGTCGATAGGCTGTGTGTACCAAGCTTTAGGAGACCCAGGTCTATTCCAACATGAAATAACTCTAAGGACTACGACAATCAGATTGGAAGAATTCCTCACAAAAACCAATGACCTTCTCCTACAAATACTAAAACACCAAATGTACTCCATCCACAAAGAAGGTGCATTCTTCAAGAACCAACTTAACATACCTGAAACCCTACCAAGAAAATACGAAGCGAATACCATCTACGCCGAACGAGTAAAAGAGAAAGCAAAACATGTTGACCAAATGTAATTACAAAAAAATAACCTGGGAGGACAATGCTTTACATGGCAAATAGATAAAAAGAACGAAAGAAGCAGGTGTGGCCCAACAGAAGAAATGTCAGTAGCTGCGGAGCAGCGGGTTGAAAGCCGAAACAGAAGGCGTAATTATTGCAGCTCAGGACTAAAGACACACAACCAGATCCTATCACTCTCACATAATCAAGGACAGAACTAACCAGAAATGCAAGATCTGCGGAAAATATGATGAAACTGCAGGCCATGTTATCTCAGAATGTCCGGAACTAGCAAAAAATAAATATATCCACAGACATAAGTAGCGACATATGTGCACTGGAAGATACGCAAGAAGCACAAAATCGAAACCACTGAGAGATGGTAAGAACACCATCCTGACACAGTTACCCTAAATAACGATGTAACTATCCTCTGGGACATGCCAATTCAAACTGACAGGGAAATAAAAGCGAACAGACCTGATATTATCATAAAAAATAAGAAATACAAAAAGTTTATGCTTATTGACATAGCAGTATCGAGAGAGACACCTATCGAGAAATTTTTCCAAATATAAATCCAACATCCCATATACTAAGAAAAGTGCTATCAATTAAATGATAAGGACTATATTTTGAACCCGGCTCTACATGATTCAAAACAGGAAACATAACAAACTAATAATAATAAGAAGAAGAAGAAGAAGGAGGAGGAAGAGGAGGAGGAGGAACAAGCAAATCTAATCGTGCTGACATCGTGATTGGAGACGACATACAAAACAAAACAAATATACACCAACTTTTTTTACGAATCAAAGAGTAAGAATCTTTTTTTTTTCCTAATTGTAAAGCCACTTAGACGCAAGGGTTACTGAGCCTGAAAGAATATAGGAAAAAGGAAACATTATTAAGAAAAGAGAACAATAAAAGAACAGGAATTAAGAAGACTGAACATAACGATTTATCTTGCATCGAAATGTCTGAAGGTCAAAGTTGACTGCAACGCAAGAAGCTGAAAAAGAGTTCCACAAGGGAGATTAAACTGCAAGCATAGAACTTATATCGAGTCATTTCGACAGTAAAATTACAAGACCTTGCCACTAATCTAGTACTGCGCTTAAATTTATAAGGACTCGGTACGAAAATTCATAATAGAATTATGAAAATATTTATAGAAAATGCACAGGGGAAAGTACATTAAGGTGGTGGGAAAGTGACCGAAGCCGAGATGCAAGGTTATGACCATGAACATTGCAGATTCTTCTTTGAATTTTATCAAGAATCTCTAAATATATAGCAGAAGTGCGAGAACAGACGTGACAGAAATATTCAACGAATGGTGGACTTATAAATGTGTAAGATACATTCTTTCAATTTGTAATAGGTAGTCTATGAAACTAATGTTTCGTATTTTCCTCACTTAGAAACCGTGGATGCTATTTTATAAACAAAACAGAATTATATCTTGCCTTATATTAAACCCATAATTCCGTATTATTTTGTTTTGAAAAATTCAATATTTTTGTGGAAATGGCATTTCAGAATAGGATAATCAGCAATCCGGGTTTTTGCCCGATTGACTTTGCAGCCACAAAACTTTATATCGGATTATAATGCACATAATAGATATAATGTATAATGCATATGTTGTATAATGTATATAATGTATAATGCATATAATGTATATAATGTATAAACGATGGATTAACGTGAGTGAAAAGAAAATTTCCACTCCTTTGGAAGATGTGAGGATTATTTAGTTTTCAGGGATTTCATGCAAGGTGGATCGCTTAATGGATTAGCCTAGAAATTTGTTCCTCGATGTTTTCCATATTCTAAATACAGGTAATCCACTTTTACGGATTTTCCCAAAGAAGGGAATGTTTATCAGGCACCTGCTTTCTACTTTGCTCTGTAAGCGCCAAAATCGCTATCAACAAATGAATTCAGTTAATCTAAGGTAAAGACTGACGATGAGAAACACATCTTTGAAAACCTTATTTTTACATCTGCCTTATATCAGTAAGTACGTTTCTAAATAAACCAGAATATTCCCTGGTAAACGATAAGATGAATAAAGACCCTTCGACTGTAATTAAATGCACGCACTTAATTTTTATCATATATAACAATTATTATTATTGTTTCTGTGTTATGTCTCCTTTCGAGTCGGGTCCAAACTATAGTCCGTAGATCCTAAAGAAGAATTGTTATTTAATTGATAGCACTTTTTTTAGTATATGAGATGTTCCTAGTAGGGCGATTTTCTGGGTAAATTGTATGTTAATTTTACCCGAGACATTTTCAGTGAAATTGTCCATTCCTTTTCTCATGAGACCCATAGCTCCGATTACTATTGGTACAGTATCATTCTTCATTCCTCACATCCTGTTAATCTCGGTTTCTTGATAATTTTTACGAAGGTGTTTTTCTCAGATGGGACTGTTATCTCAATAAGTATACACTTGCTGTATTTCTTGTCTTTTATAATTTTTTGTCTTTTATGATAATTCATTATTATTATTGGCAGCAGACACGGTGGAGCAATGGCTAGCGGCTTGGATTGAGAAATCGGCCAACCGAATTCGAATTCCAGTCGAATTCATTACATTCACATACGAGCTAATACTCTTGGGAAGATATAAATTCTCTCCATCTCCCCCTCCAGCTAAGGATAAACAGCAGGACAGACCGGAGTCTATATCATTGGATGGAAACTGGTCTACCGCAGAAAGAAATGGCAACCTACTGCGGGAAAAATCTGTCTCGTCAGTCATGTATCGAAAGATACATGATAGTCTAAGCGTGTATCACGTGTGGCACATAACTCACTGATTATTATTATTATTATTTCCTTTGATTTATGTTTTATACTTGTGACGAAAGACATGACTTGCCACAAAATTCGAAAGGAGCGCGAACGTGTCTAGCCTGAAAAGTGATGACAAAAAGAAATATGGCCGCTATTGAAGCTATTTTATGCGCGCCTATCTCGTCCAAAACGAGACGATATTTGCACACATGCAAATTTTGGCCGTATTGGAATAGCATAAAAAGCGGGATGCCAGCAGCACGAGGAAAGCGAAGTCATTCGGTGGACTGCGTTCAATAGAGCTGGACGTACGGATTGAGAGACGGACAAAGAGGAAGTCGAAGTAATCGCGACTGAACTGGTGTCTGTTTCACAACTGTGTAACGGCTGAGAAACGGAGTCACGCAACCCATTTCCTTGAGGCGACCGAAGAAGAAGAAGAAAAAACAGTTGGCCTGCTATCGAGCACCGTTCTACACTTTTTGACCCCGCCCCCTTCATCACCATTTTTCTCTACAATACTCATTTCCTTCCTGGTCCCACCAGAGGCCTAAGGTCAGAAATGGCTTCATGGTATTTTCTACTGATCATTTTTGTAAAAATATAAAAATACCTTCCCCGCTCCAAAAATCCACTAAGACCACACACATTTTACATAGCCCATTGTAATGTGTGGGCTTTACTCGTGAACACAATACTTTGTATTTCTTTAAGGGCTGTGCTTCCAGGAATCTCTGTAATGAGGCTATCGAAACCTTTTCCAATCAATCCAACGGCTTTAAATAAAACTGGAATTAATGATGGCCCATGTGTCACTTTTTTCGGGATTTCCACTTTGTATTTTGGCAATTTTTTGAAGTTATTATTATTATTATTATTATTATTATTATTGTTAATATTATTATTATTATTATTTCCTTATATTTCTGGTGTATATTATTTTCTTTCCGGGTTCCGACCAGAGGCCTAAGATCAAATGACATCATGACATTTCCACTGAGTATTTTTGAAAAAAAAATATGCCACACATATTTTACATAGATAAAGTCCGAGATTTACTTTGATTTTGCCAAGATGTGACACAAGGTCGGTTGTTAAAGTTGGGACTCGAGTGTTTCCACTCGGTCCGCTGGTCCAAGCTGGTCATAGCTTGCCTGAGCTAATCATAGCCGTTCATACTACCGCTACATAACAGATGTTACGCAACGGTAGGTGGAACGCATGGGAGGAGAGAAGGCCTTCGAAACGGAACAGATACTATATCTGCAGCATCCATCCCGACGGGAAAAGCCTCCGTCTCCTCCTCTGCTAATCCCTCCGAAAGAATCACCTACATCGATAAAGCCCTTCGTAAAGTGTGTGGATTGTACGTCATTTTCTGATGTATACATATTTCTTTCCTGGTCTCAGCCAGAGCAATGACCTAAAGTCAGAAATGACATCCTGACATTTTCCCACAAAATTGTTCTAGGCCTATGTCTATTATTATTATTATTATTATTATTATTATTATTATTATTTCCTTTGATTTCTGGCGTTTACACATTTCTTTCCGGGTGCCACCCAGGGACCTAAGGTTAGAAATGGCGTCATGACACTTTCCACTTACAAAAAAAAAAAAAAAAAATACATAGATAAAGCCCTTCGTAAAGTGTGGGCTGTACTTGTCAGAACAATTTTTTCTATCTCCTTGAGGCATGGACTTCCAGGAATCCCTTCAATTAGTCTACTGCGATCTTTTCCAACCAGTCCTAGGGTTCCAACTACAACTGGGATTGTTGATGTTCCCATATGCCACATTTTTGAGATTTCTATTTCAAGGTCCTTGTATTTTGACAACTTTTTGAATATCTTCAAAGATACATTGCAGTCAGCAGGGACTGCCATATCAATGAGGAGGCATCGTTTTTGTTTGTGGTCTTTAATAACAATATCTGGGCGGTTGGTCTTGATTGTTCTGTCAGTGTGTATTGTGTAGTCCCACAGAATTGTAACAGGTCCTATCTCCGTAACCGGGTCTGGGTGGTGTTCATACTTATCATTATTATTATTATTATTATTGTTGTTGTTGTTGTTGTTGTTGGTTTGTTTGGTATCATCTTGCCAAAGAGCAATTTTTTTAACTGTCTATTTACCAAGTCACCGCCCTCTAAGGTGTGTGAGTAAAAAGGTACTGTGGGAGAGTTATCTATGTACATTTCCAAACATTCGTTTAGATAGAGACGGTTTTGCGCATGATACCCGCAGTTCAGTACAAAGTAATCTTTTGTAGCACTGAGATTCTGAGGTATCCAGGAATTTTACTCACATGATTTTCTCTACCCTTTTTTTTATCATAATTAATAATGCCTCTATCCCTACAGGGATATCACAGTTTTAAGCGGTCACATTTTTGTTGCATTGATTTATAAGGTCCTTATAATTTGACAGTTTTTGACATTCATTTTGTATAATCTATCTATCTATCTATCTATCTATCTATCTATCTATCTATCTATCTCAGCCTGTTCATATCTATCTATCTATATATCTATCTAAATGCAGTATACTATTATCTATCTATCTATCTATCTATCTATCTATCTATCTATCTATGTCAGCCTGTTCATATCTATCTATCTATCTATCTATCTATCTATCTAAATGCAGTACACTGTTATCTATCTATCTATCTATCTATCTATCTATCTATCTATCTATCTATCTATCTATCTAAATGCAGTACACTGTTATCTATCTATCTATCTATCTATCTATCTATCTCAGCCTGTTCATATCTATCTATCTATCTATCTATCTATCTATCTAAATGCAGTATACTCTTATCTATCTATCTATCTATCTATCTATCTATCTATCTATCTATGTCAGCCTGTTCATATTTATCTATCTATCTATCTATCTATCTATCTATCTATCTATCTACTTCAGCCTGTTCATTATCTATCTATCTATCTATCTATCTATCTATCTATCTATCTAAATGCAGTATACTGTTATCTATCTATCTATTTATCTATCTATCTATCTATGAGTAAAAAGGATGCATATTTATGCATATTACTAGGATTTGGTGGATGATATGTGCCCTTCAGCACAAAGTAATCTTTTGTAGCTCTTAGATGCTGGTGTGTCCAGGAATTTTATTCACATGATTTTCAGTACCCTTCTTTATCATACCCAATGCCCATCTCCCGACAGGGATAATCGAAGTTTTAAGTTTCATTATTTTTGTTATTTCGATTTGCAGCTTCTTAAAAGTTTTTGAAATTCCTTTTTAGAAATATTTTAGGCAAGCCATATGAATTAGTTGACAGCTTTCTTTTTTAAAATATTTTCTAACTATATATGATCTATTTGCATCAATTTTCCTGTGATTTGAAGATTGAGAAATAACACAGTATAGTCACTCATTTGGGACATCATTCGGGTTATCTTTATACTATGCATCCGTAACTTCTATAATCTACTTCTATAATCTACTTAAAACATGGCAATGAATATATTGTCCTAGCCTGTCATGTCAATAATGTACTATTATTATTATTATTATTATTTCCTTTGATTTCTTGTGTGTGCTCATTTATTTCAGGGTCCCGACCAGCGACCTAAGTTCAGATACGGCATCATGACATGTTTTCTCTGTACAATTTTAAAAACACAAAAAAAACATATATATCTCAGTTTGTTCATATCTATCTATCTATCTATCTATCTATCTGTCTGTCTGTCTATCTCTCTATCTATCTCAGTTTCTTCATATCTATCTATCTATCTATCTATCTATCTATCACAGTTTGTTTCTATCTATCTCAGTTTCTTCATATCTATCTATCTATCTATCACAGTTTGTTTCTATCTATCTATCTATCTATCTATCTATCTATCTATCTATCTACACGAATCTGTTCATATCGTTCGCGTCAGTTCATATCTCTCTATTTTATTCTATTCACAAACACAAGCGCGCGCACACACACATACATACGCCTACACACACACACACACATATATATATATATATATATATATATATATATATATATATATGCATGTCTATATATTGTGTATTTGGGCATCTTACGAATACATTCTTACTGCTCAATGTAGCGTCCAATCTTGAATATTAACAGCAGAGAAACATCCTCAAATCCAGGCTTTCGAAAAGATATGGTATAGAACCATCTTAGCCACCTTCTGTGAAGACCGCATCACAAACGACGCAGTGCAAGGCATCATCAGACAAGAACAACCTCCCTTTTTTAAGACCTCGTCTCCACTGTCAAGAAGAGAAAACCAAAATGTTATGGACACATCACAAGAGGTAGCAATCGTTCTGCTGGCGTCCTTCAAAATTCAACATTAGCCAAAAGAAATGGAGGCAGTCAGAGGGGAAATGGCCTGAGAGTGTAGTGGAAGAACGTTTCCAGAGACTCGGGCATGTAGACTGAAATGAAGCTGGTCAAGTGCAACCTTAGGACCACACCCGGTCCTGGAAATGATGATGATGATGATCACGATGACATTGAAAGAAATTATCTTATTTTAGGATAAAAACAAACTTAAAAGGTAATAAATCATAATACAAGAAAAAGCGTAAAATTATTGTGTTTATCCATAACTGCATCCAGTATGGAGTCGCCATTTACTGATCCTTCTAACCTTAAAAGTTGTCGTCCACCAGTTCCCTAAAATATGGACTCAGACATAGTCCTGGAAGGATATTTCTCCATTATCACAATTTCCCTACTTTTCAAAGTGAAAGCCCCCACCTGTAACCTATTCTATAAATTTCCTCATAGACGAAGTGGTTTGAAGTTGCAAAAATTTAGTTCGATTGAATATTATAGACAGAGCATGAGAGAAATTATTAAGTCCTCAACGCAAATAGGAATTACAGAGAAACTGTGGTTAAAAGTCGAAAAGCTAGAGCTAATTTTTTTGGATGCATAATGAAGAAAGTGGGCTTGGAGAATTTAACACTCACATCACATACTGAAGGCAAAAAAAGCAGATTAAAACAGCGAATAACTTGACGAGTCGAAGTAAACGGAAGACAAAACCAAGATAACAAAGAGTTATTGAGAGTAAAAAGAGACAGGCTACTGTGGAGAGCTATGATCGTCGCATTTCTGAACGAGTATGGTACGTACCTCACCATGATTGGCCTGCAGATTGATAAGGCATTTCTGCCTGAGATGTTTGAGTGTGCTTCCTCACATGAGATCGTCACCCACAGCCGAGATAAAAGCAGGAATGGAGGTGAAGAAAATATTTGGGGTGTATTGGTAAATATTTGCTTCTACTTGAATAGTAATTATTGATTAAAGTTCTTTTTTCTTCATACCTCATCGAATGTCTGAGGTTTGAATAGTAATGTGACCGAAGGTAAGAAAACTTGAATTGCAATGAACCCGGACGTTAGGAAACTTGAATAGTAATGTGTCCGAAGGTAAGAAAACTTGAATAGCAATGAACCCGGCCATAGGAAAGCTTGAATAGTAATGTGACCGAAGGTAAGAAAACTTGAATAGCAATGAATCCGGTCGTAACAAAGCTTGAATAGTAATGTGACCGAAGGTAAGAAACATTGAATAGCAATGAACCCGGCCATAGGAAAGCTTGAATAGTAATGTGACCGAAAGTAAGAAAACCTGAATAGCAATGAACCCGGACGTTAGGAAACTTGAATAGTAATGAACCCGGACACGAGAAAGCTTGAATAGTAATGTGACCAAAGGTAAGAAAACTTGAATAGCAATGAATCCGGACGTAAGAAAGCTTGAATAGTAATGTGACCAAAGGTAAGAAAAATTGAATAGCAATGAACCCGGACGTAAGAAAGCTTGAATAGTAATGTGACCAAAGGTAAGAAAACTTGAATAGCAATGAACCCGGCCATAAGAAAGCTTGAATAGTAATGTGACCGAAGGTAAGAAAACTTGAATAGCAATGAACCCGGACGTAAGAAAGCTTGAATAGTAATGTGACCAAAGGTAAGAAAAATTGAATAGCAATGAACCCGGACGTAAGAAAGCTTGAATAGTAATGTGACCGAAGGCAAGAAAACTTGAATAGCAATGAACCCGGACGTAAGAAAGCTTGAATAGTAATGTGACCGAAGGTAAGAAAACTTGAATTGCAATGAACCCGGTCATAAGAAATCTTGAATAGTAATGTGACCGAAATAAGAAAACTTGAATAGCAATGAACCCGGACGTAAGAAATCTTGAATAGTAATGTGACCGAAAGTAAGAAAACTTGAATAGCAATGAACCCGGACGTAAGAAATCTTGAATAGTAATGTGACCGAAGGTAAGAAAACTTGAATAGCAATGAACCCGGCCATAAGAAATCTTGAATAGTAATGTGACCGAAGGTAAGAAAACTTGAATAGCAATGAACCCGGACATGAGAAATCTTGAATAGTAATGTGACCGAAGGTAAGAAAACTTGAATAGCAATAAACCCGGACGTAAGAAAGCTTGAATAGTAATGTGACCGAAGGTAAGAAAACTTGAATAGCAATGAACCCGGCCATAGGAAAGCTTGAATAGTAATGTGACCGAAGGTAAGAAAACTTGAATAGCAATGAACCCGGACGTAAGAAAGCTTGAATAGTAATGTGACCGAAGGTAAGAAAACTTGAATTGCAATGAACCCGGCCATAAGAAATCTTGAATAGTAATGTGACCGAAATAAGAAAACTTGAATAGCAATGAACCCGGACGTAAGAAATCTTGAATAGTAATGTGACCGAAGGTAAGAAAACTTGAATAGCAATGAACCCGGCCATAAGAAATCTTGAATAGTAATGTGACCGAAGGTAAGAAAACTTGAATAGCAATGAACCCGGACATGAGAAATCTTGAATAGTAATGTGACCGAAGGTAAGAAAACTTGAATAGCAATAAACCCGGACGTAAGAAAGCTTGAATAGTAATGTGTTACCGAAGGTAAGAAAACTTGAATAGCAATGAACCCGGACATAAGAAAATTTGAATAGTAATGTGACTGGACGTAAGAAGAAATAATTTCCTTACTTTTAGCCTCATTTAACTTTTACGCTGTGTGTCATCGTGTACACCTAAAAAACCCTCTGGCAAAAAGATCTGGTGGAAACAGAGGCGAACGGAATGCAAATGTAATCAATAGTAATAAAAGAATACTTATACAATGAATAACAAAACAACATTTCTACGACGATGTCTTTTTTGCCAAATTTAAATAATTACAGCTAACTTCTGGACCCCCTTATATAACTATCCACTGTAAATAAGCATACGTCCTAGGTATGACGATAAACTACATCCTGCGACAAGGCCTCTGATCAGGAGGTTTTGAGGATTATGGAATCACCTCTTAATTTCTGTTGTTCCCTAGTCCATCCTGACCCGGTGTGGTAGCACTTGTTAGAGTCACAACTATGGCAAATATTTAACCCCTAAACTGGGGTCAAAACACTATGAAAGTATAAAAATAGATTTTTACAATAAAAATACGAGAAAAAAAATATTACAGTAATATGTCTATATTTCTGAGATGAAGTATTATGCTCATTATTTACATTATTCGAACTATTGCACACATGGCACTGTTGACAAAGGCATTGGTTAGATTCAGTGACAGGAACCAAAGAGTATGAGTTCAATACCTGGTTAAGGCAGTGGAGAACTTGCAGAGGGAAATTAACAGGAGATAACTGATAAATGACATCCATTAAACATGGCACTTGGGTCTAGAACAGTCTACCATAGTGAGCGAAATGAAGGATTCAGTTCGACATTCCAATCACCTGAAGAAGGCCAGAGCGTACAACAGCTGAAACGTTGTAATAAATATGGCGAAAAAGATGAGGACAATAGTCCGAATATTGTAAATTGTGTACCAGTAATATATTTGAATCACGACAAAAACCTTCTTTACAAAACAATGAAGCCTGATCGACAAACAAATTTCTTACAATGAATACATATTCTATTCATACGAACCTTTCCTAAAAATCTTGTTGGCATTAAATTACCCACTGAGGTTGATATGCCGTAAAACAAAATACATTAAAGGATACTAATATATATATATATATATATATATATATATATATCATATATATATATATATATAAACAAATGTTTGGAGGTACAAAATTTATAAATAGTTTTAAAAACAAGGAAACCATTGATTTTAATTTTAAAAGTCTCTAGGGCCCTTTCAGCCAACATCTCATCAGTAGACAATCGTTGGATTAGCGAAATGAATAATAGCGATATTGAAGAGCAAAAAAGAGGGGGAAACACACTAAAATAACGAACAAGTATATATACTTGTAACGAGGGAAGGGATCGTGTAAATAAATTAGCGATGGACAGTTAAAATAAAATATCCCCCAACAGATTCAGAGACCATATAAATTCTTTCTGCCGGCAGAGAGAAGGTTTTCTTAATCCTATACAGACCGATTCCAAAATCTTCAAAATCTTTTATTACTAGCATCTATCGTAAACCCACCTTTACTGGACTTTATTTGAATTGGCGTTCATTTGCTCCTGCATCAAGGAAAATTAATCTCGTTAAAACCTTGGTGTATAGAGCGTTTAAAGTGTGTTCCCCTATTAGATTGGACCGTGAATTTGGGAACATGAGGGAGATTTTCCTTAGTAACGGCTATCCGGAGGCCCTTATTGACTATATTATTAGTAAGAAAACTAAGGAATTTCATTCCCCTAAAATCCAGGGGCCTTCTAAATGTCCGGTTTATTTGAAGATTCCCTGGATTGGGGATAGGGGTCAGGGCTTAATTAAGCAGGTTAGCAAGTCGGTTTCCGGTTGTTTCCCATCAGTTGCTTTACGTAGCATTTTTCAAACTAGGTTTGCGTTTCCGTCTTTTCGCAAGGATGTATTGCCCTACATCAAATTGAGTAA